AACAGGTAGACGTCTTTACCGCCAGGGCCTGGTACCCTCAGTGTGAATCTGTGGATATTAAACAAAACCAAAGTATTTTTATAGAACTGTCCGATGATTTCTGGGCATCGTGAGCATTTTGAGCAGTCAAGCACATGTGGGCTTTATGTAGCTTCTGAAGCAGTCTGCAAACACGCTGAGCCCTGAGATAGATACACGAGTCTGCCTATACTGTCCATGTGGGCCTGAATACACAGTATCTATGCAAATAATATCTCTCTCTCTCTCACACACACACACACACACACAGGCGCACACTTGTCCACACAGAGAGGTCTGTCTGCAAACATCCTGAGCTCAACAGTAAACACAGCTTGTGCCACCCGTATGCCAGCCTGCCAGCCTTCAGCTCACTCTCCAAACCCAACCTGTTACTAATGAGATGAACACAAATAGCCACTCAGATGACACCAGGACCTGTGTGGAAGTCTGTCCCAGATATGTGAGAAATCTACTCATCCACTAAGAAACATTTAGGCTGACCACTTGAAATTTTATTGATAATTTTTCTTTTGTGAATTAACTCATAATCTGCTTTGTTATTCCGTAACTAGACTAGGGCTGCCACGATTAGTCGACAAGTCACGATTACTGTCGAAATGGTTGATGCGTCTTTTTTTTTTCAAACTTTGTTTTTCTCTCCAACAGTGTTGTTTTTGACTGCTTTTTTAATTTTAGTCTTTTGAACAAAAATACTTCTTAGTTTTAGTCATTTCTATATTTAACGGTTTTAGTCTAGTTTTAGTCGACGAAAGCTTAAAAAAATTGTTTAGTTTTAGTCTTAAAAAAGACAACATATTAGTCTTTACAAATTAATTTGAGTAATTTGTGTTAACATTTGTGAATTCGTGTTACTCTAAAAATGCCCAAAACAAAAACATTCTCACTTTGTGGCTTTATTTCTCAGAATTAGCTAAAGTGCAATGAACATACACAATGCACATGCCCAATATTATAAGCAATAAAGGGGAACACACACGTTCAACTCAAACTTGTCAGCCAGGACGATGAAGATGCATCTTATTTATAAAAACRGACATCRTGCAGTCCTAAACTTAGTTAGTAGACTATTAAAATTGTGCAAACGAGTGTTTACATGCACCAGACTTTTATTCACAACAGAAGCATTGGCATGCAGAGTTGCTAACTCCCGCCGGCCAAAAAATAAAATAAAAAAACACAAAGAGTTTTACTTTCATCATGAACGTAAACAAACAGCATCTGAGCTCAGAATGGACCTGCGACAGCTTTTAATGGTGGAGATGTTACTCCCTGGTTAAGCTACAGGTGAAGGACGGACTTGTTTTTGCGAAGCGGCGCAGGCTGTGAGAGAACGGGAGGAAATGTTGTGTGCTGCTGTGTGCGCGCGTGTGTAACGCTGTCCCTCCCTCCACTCTGCATTCTAAATGATTGACAGACCACCGACTAACATTTTCGTCCAGTCTCATCAACGAAAACTCACACACATTTCGTCACATTTTAGTCATCAAAGAGCTACGTTTATTAGTTACCGTCTCGTTATCGTCATGAAAAAAGGGGGCGTCAATGAAAATATTTTATCATCATCGTTAACAAAAACAACACTGCTCTCCAAACTGTCGCGGCACCTTCCACTGCCACGTCCGCCTTTCTGTCCTTGACACACATGTGCAGTAGTGGTAATTAGGGCTGCCACAAATGATTATTTTTATAGTCGACTAATCGGTGATTAGTCAGGTGATGGAGCACATGACCCTCTATGACTTTTGCATAGGACTGTATGTCCACCATGTGGAGGCGGAGCTTATAAGGCTGAGTTCACCTGAAACTCCTCAGACTGTAGAATTCTCTTGGAGGAGAGACAAAACATTTCATTAAAGTAGAACCCATCCAGAGGACCTACTTATTTTTTCTTTTTGATTTTTCTACCTGGATTACTGAGATGCATCAGAACATATATTTAAAATCAATCCTTCCTCCTCGTAACTCTGTGCTAAAGTGCCTTTAAATAAATAGTTGCTGATGACTTTGAATATATATGGTCAAATATACGGATGGGTAAATGGCTACAGGTGTAAAAATGTCTCAAACAGAGAATAATTGCAACTTTGAAAGGTAAAGAGAAGCAAGTACAGTCCATTTACAGTTTCTCATCAGCACAGAGCCTAACAGGGCAGGATTTGACATGCCCAGTTTCCAAAATCCTAAACTCTTGCTTTAGCCAAATAGGAAAAAAAAAACTTGCTTGAGTCAGTGATTCCAACTACTTATTTTAGTCTTTCACAACTCTCACACACATTGCACACAGTCACACAGTTTTATAAAATGGTGGAAAGTTTACTCCAGAACTTTGCTTTGGATTTTCTTTTTTAATCTTCTAATAGCGATTATAAAAAAATGTAAAAATGCCAACCAAATGCAACGTAACTGCAGAAAGGAAGAATGAAAATCTGGCAGAGTGACTGCTACCACATCAGGGCACAGACCAACTCTGTCATCAGGACACTGTGCTGCTACAGAATGTGGCTCAATCTACTCCATCAACTCCCTGTGCAAGACATGCTTGAATTAGCCTTGGTAAACACAACAAAATGCTTAGATTTTACACATAATGTCCTTTAAAGGTCTTCTCCATTTGAGTAATAGAAGACAGCTTCCCCCAGAGAGCCAGAGGTAAAGGTTCTCTGCATGGCGCCTGGTGAGACTGAGACTTAACTTGAAACCACACCTTTTCTACCTGGCAAATGTCAAACACATGAAAGGAAATTGAAGGTCTTGTAAAGGCTCTCCAGAGATGCTTGGACTGGCTTCAAGCTTCGCTGCTTGTTGAATCATAGTGAATAGACTCGAGGGAGAGCTTTCTTCAGTGCCCACTTTACTCGGACCCCCATTATGCTGAACATGCAGGCTCAATGTTACCTTACATCTGCTTTCTATTTATGTCAATTGTTGCATTACACTTATGTATACAATACCCAGTGAGCTGCAGAGTTGTAAAGTAACTAAGTACAAATACTTTGTTACTGTACTTAAGTGGAAATTTTGGTTATCTGTACTTTACTTGAGTAATTATTTTCAGTGTACTTTTTACTTTTACTCATTACATTTTTACACAATTATCTGTACTTTCTACTCACTACATTTTTTAAAAAGGTAAGAAGTAGAAAGTCATTACTCATATTTTATTCCAAGTTATTACTTAAAAAAATACTATCCTGATAAACTGCGTCTCCTGGATAGAATGAATTTAATTGTGGTTGGATGAGAAGTATAAATATATACCATTCTGACACCCTATTAGCTTGTACACAACCCATCACAGCTGCACGCCATTAGAAAAAATATTTTTAAATTGACTGAGTGGGGGTGAGGATGAGGGTGGGATGGTGCGATTGTGTATGTTTGGGTATTTGTCAGGCTGTGGTCTAGGCTGCCCCTCCTGCTGGTTTATCTGGGGGCCCGCTGCTACTCGGGCCCCCGGTGGGGTGTGCGGCTGGCCGCTGGCGTGCTGGGGGTTCCCGGGGTCTGGGGCTGGGTGCTGGGGTGTGTGCCGGCCTGGCCTGGTGACTGCCTGTTGGGGCTCGGGGCCTCTGGGCCTGTTCGGCTTTGGCCTGGAGAGGGTGCGCCCTGGGGGCCCGGACCTCTGTGCCCTTTTCTGGATCTGCTTTGGTATGGCGGGTGCCGGTGGGGCCCATGAGTTTGTCGCTGCTGGCCCCGGGTTATGTGTGTGTGTGGTCGCTGGGGGGACTCTCCCAGTTCTCCCCTATGGTCTGATCTGGGGGTGGGTGGCGGATCTTCCAGTGCGGGTGCCCCTTGGGGCTCTGCGCTCGGGATCCCTCTCAGGCCCTTGGGCTCTGGTCTTCCCTATGTCTGCCTCGTGTCTTGGGGGTTGGGTCTCGGTCCTCCACAGTCACTATTAAATATTCCATTGGAGAAATCTTGTATACACGCATGTTCACAACTGCTCACAAACACGTGTTCTGATCCGGGGGGTTCTGACTGGTCACTGAGTGTGTATATATGTCTGTGTGTATATACTGACAATATTTATGAATGTAGGCATGTATGTATGTATATCTTTATATATGTCTGGGTATGTGTATATTTTTATATATGCCCTCCATGTATTTATCCATTTATTTTTCAGGTGAGCGGACAGATGTTGGGTGTGTCGTCCTGTGTTTTGTTGGTGTATATTTAATTATATATATTTATATATATAATTATACATATAATTAAATATATTTTCTCTTCACAAAAAAATCATAATGGTGTGGAGAGGATAGCTATAAGGGAAGAAGGGAGGCCATCTTAAAAAAAAAGAAAAAAAAAAGAAAAAATATTTTTTGGAGAAATCAACTCCCAATAAATGTCATTTTGGAAAATCTAACTGCTCACTTTTACTCAGTACTTTTATTTTTAATTCTTAAGTACAATAAATATCAGATACTTTAAGACTTTTACTCAAGTCATATTTTTTAGAAGACTTTAACTTTTACCAAAGTATTTTTATGATAAGATACTTGTACTTTTACTGAAGTAATATTTTTAGAGAAGACTTTAACTTTTACCAAAGTATTTTTATGATAAGATACTTGTACTTTTACTCAAGTATCACTTTGAGGTACTTTATACAACACTGGTGAGTTGGTACACCACATTATCTTTGTGTCCAAAGAGGGAGAAGCTGACTCGTTGTTTTTTATTTTCTCAAAGTGTGACTCAGACTGCTCCAGCCGTTAATGTTTCAACTTCACCATGATGAGAATTACATTCTATCACAGAAAAGATTCTGCACAAGTCCAGTACATTTATTTTGCAAACATGCACATGCTTCGACAACCCGAAATAACTGTACTTAAATTTCCTTTAACTTGATTCCATTTTTCCATATGTTTGCATGCATGTATGCTTCTATAGCTCAGTCCTGAGCACAGCAACTCTACGACTCTGTGAGCGTGTGTGCGTCTGTGTAAATGTACCCGTTTCTCCAGCTGTGTGAGCTGCTCCGTGTAGAATGCATCCARAGCTTTCAGTTGCGTGTCTTTCTTCTGTAGCTGCTGAGCCTACAAGCAGACACACAAAATATACAGGACAGTCAATTAAGCRTTAACAGTAAAGATCATACGATTAACTTGAAATCGACTCAAATCGAAGGAAAATTTAAGAATTAAATTAACGTTCATAGTGTTTTTCCATGCTTGTGCCTACAGTGGGATAGACAAAGCCAATGGAAAATGAGAGCAAGTGAGATGGTGATAAAAAAATGGGTAAAATATCAAAGATTTTGTTTTTTTCCCTACAATTCTGCACAAATTCTACATTAATGAAAAATTTAGATGGAACAGGGAACGTAAGTAGGACTGACTCTGCATGTAAAAAAAGTTAAACAAATAGAAATGAAATATATCCTAGGGTTGGGCGATATTGGTAAAATAATTAATCACGATTAATTGTGGTATTTAGCCGACAACGATTAATTTGACGATTAATCCTCTGGAGTCCCTGGACACCTTTATGTCCTAGTCACATGACCTATTTAGTGGGAAAGATTTGCTCTTTGTAAAAAATCTTTTCCAAATTGTGTCAAAATCAGACTTCAGGCTATACTTCAAATTTTAAATTGTGTTGATAGATAAATAAATTACAGAACTTTTGTTTAAATGTTCATCATATTTGAAGTGGAGAGGAGCACCGAGAGGACTGACCGGGGAAATATCCAGTCAGTCTGCCTGGTGGCATTAATCGTATTAATCGTCAAGTGCCAAAAAATAATCGATTAATGTCTTTCTGACGATTAATTGCACACGATACGATTATGCCCAACCCTAATATATACATTATATACATGCAAAATAAATAAATCGAAAGAGGTTTAATTTGCTTCTAGCTGATCATTAATAGGCTTGTTACTTCATTTGCACTTCAAATTACAGAGATTCAACATTTTTTACTGTTTATACGAATAGAAATCATTACCTATGACTCCAACATACTAAAAACTGTATTTTTGTCAAGAAAAATTCATAGTTGGAAACAGCACAAACTGGAGCTCAGCAAAAAGATGGAAAAGCCAAAAGAGCAGGACTTTTCGAGGCTACAGTGAAGCTTACCATCACCTCTATCTCATCTGCAGACTAGAGATGTTTGACAAAAGTGAAAGAGAAAGAGCAGAGGGCACAGAGGGACAGGGCAAGAGAAGGAAAGAATGACAGGAGAGCAAAATAACAGTAGTAAGAAGCTAGAACTCAACTAGACCACATCATTTAGATTACAGCATGATAAACACTAAACTGAGACAGTTCGTTTTTTAAATGATAAAATATATGTACGGACAAAAATTGCCATGTCAAAAATAACATTTTATTGTAAACAAACTTTCATTATTGCACACACACATTTTTCTGAAAGTTAAGCCAAACTACAAAAGACAAAGTGCTTTTTAATAAGGTTATCATCCCTACCTGTCATCTAAAACAACAGTATTCTGAGACCAACGATGTAGGTTGACAATCCACCCACACCACCCGCAACTTTTCATAACAGTCTGAAATATCACTTAATTAACAAAATATAATTACATAAAGTAGAAAAAACAATTTTATTACTTGTTATACAACACTTACACACTTGCTTCACTCTGTCCACAAGAGCAACAGATCTCAACAATTCTTACAAATTATTCAGGTTACTGATGCTTATTTTAAAAGCACAAAGTTATAGAAATAGCAGCAAATATAATTTACAAAGACAAATAAAATGCATAAACCAGACTTTATTTCAATATTAATTTAGTTATTTTGTATATCAGATCCTTCTGATTTCTGTTAAACCTCAAACATTTAAAAAAATTAAAAAGCAGATTTTGGAACCTTTTTCTGATTCCGCAAAACCTAATCTAGAGTTTGGGTTTTCAAACCCACCTAAATGTGCTTGTGTAGACAAAACACTATTAAAAAACCTATTAAACTGACTGCAAAGCAGCTGTCTGTATTGTCTAATGTTTGCAATATTAATAGTTACATTACAGAAATTTTTAGCACTTGATTTTGTTGAATTAATGCCCAACAAAATAAACCAGGTGATATTTTATTTTTATTAGATTTAAAAAAATCTGACTACATTCTTACCTAATTGTGTCAAACCTTAAGGGCCTGCCACGCTATAATATTTTAGACAACTTCTGCCAACTTATGAAAAGTTTGTCCAACACTAAAGATGTCAAAGCTGATAATGAAATAAAAAAATTCTACAGGAAGCCTCTTTTGGACCTCTTCATACTGTAATGCAAATATTTAGATAGACATGTAGCTAATAGGAATAGTCATAAAATGTTCATAAGTCGGCATAAGTTGTCTAAAACCTTATAATGGGACAGGGTAGATGGTCTTAAGGTAGATGGAATCAGCTTACAGGAACATTATGTCATCTTATGTCAGCTAGGTGAACTAATGTACACCTTGTTAGTAAATACAAAATGGTTTATAATCTCTAATATGTAGAAAAATATAACTTCACACTATTTCTTTAACTGACAGGCTGCCACTATCTGAAAACCCCAATGTACTAAATGTTGCACATCTGGCACTCTGAGCAAATTAATGCCAATCAATATTTAAAAAGCACTACTGTTGCAGGTCTTTCAGAGCACAGAAGCACTGAAAAGCAGCAGCGGCAGCAGCTCTGAACAACTGAGGTGAAAAGTATCTACATGCACATATGCACACACATACAGAGGGAGAGGAAGATTCATCATAATTATCAAAGCTGATAAACGCCAAATCAAACCGGAGCCAATCGTCTGGGTTTCATAAACAGACCTTAAATGAGGGGAGACAAAGTGCGAGAGGGTCCCTGATGTGAGAGAAACTGCCTCTGTTGGTGAAAAGACCCAGCTGCTGCAATTTAATGGAGGAAGAAAAAAAAATGAAAAGAAAAAAAATGAGACTGCGGTTGCTTTTTGTTAATTATATATGTCAGACAAGTATCCGTTTGGTGGAGATTAAGCAGAAAAACGAAGAAATTTAATTAAAAAAAATGTTTTCCTTCCTATCTGTGTCTCTCTGTGTTGGTCCGGTTTTAATTTGCAGTCACAGAAGAAACTGCAAGTGAATCAGATGACTCCTCTGGTGTCCCTCCAGGGACCTGCGAGTTTCTGGTAGATAACAGCCAGCCAGGCGTGACTTTACACACAACACACCACACCACATAAGCACACCAAGCCACAGAGGAGAAGAACTAAAGCTTACCTGCACGTAGTTAGCCTGACTCTATGCCTGACTCTATAGGACATTACCTCACATTGTCATTGAGTTTGTGTTTTTTTGATTAAAGCAATATTTATCAAAAAGCCTCTGTCTTCCTCATTTTGGAATAAAGCCACTTTGTACAGCCCCTTTTTCTTCCTACTATATAACTATTTAACTTGACACAATAAAGATGCCAACCTAGAGCATTAATGATCTTTTAAACATGTAAACATTTGAAAAAAAATTCTCTCTGAAACAAGTCAAAATACTACAATGCATCTTGTGGTTAAAAAAAGACAATTAAAAGGAAATTTAGGCTTGGAAGTGAGATGTGTATTTAAAGTAGACATATGATACTTTGAAATCCTTTTTCACATTAAATCATTCAGTTAGGGTCTATTTAAAGTGGAACTGTAATGCTCTGGTCTGAATTCCTCATAACTGAAGCTCCACAAGCCCCTCTTTCACCTCTTTTCTGCAGCGTCTCAGATCAACTCGTTTTGAGGCTGTCTCTTTAAATTCAAACAAAGCACTTCACACCCCCCCCCCTTCAGCTTCCAGAGCAGTCCATTCTTAAATTAATGGGGGGGGGGGGGTATGACTATATAGCAGTGCAGAAACGTTTTATTTACAAATTAAGTAAAAGATGTCAAACAAGGGAAGACTTGTCCAATTAGCCTTATCTGTTGGAGCCAGAGTCTGACCCAGAACCAGAGGAGAATGAAGACCAACAAATTTAGTTGGTAAGTCAGGCCTTATTTAGCAGTTCCACTGCAAATACTGTGACGTAATAAATCAGAAAACGTTCAGTGGGTTGAAGAATATGACCCAAACAGATTCTAAAATAACTGTGCAGCACTGGGAGAGACTAAATTAAACTTKTCTGCACTCCTAGAGACTCCAAGTACTGAACATCATTTGATTTTTGCATGTTAATTTTAACTTTGTTGAACAAAAAAAGGCTGATTTTAATCCATTTTAGGAATAAAATGTATCACCATTAGTTCTGGTATCATTTTATTCATACCAGGACCTAATAAAATGAGAGGAATATCAGTATCAGTAATGTCTGAATTAAAATAAATGCAAACAAGATGACAAAAGGCAAACAAAAATGTTCTCTACTGAAATTGGTTAAGAAAAGAATAAAAAAATAAAAGTTGTATATCCTCTACAACAGCCATCTCATGCTGCAGGTTTTGAGATGAAGCTGTAGAGACAACAGATGGTGGTTGGTTGAGCTGTTAGTGTGTCTGCCGGGTGGATGCTACAGCTACAGAGGGTCAAATACCAGAGCCAGTACAGAAAGAGCACAAGAGGAGAGACTCTGTAAATTACTGTTAACTGCCCAGTGTATCATCAATATATCACATGGGCATGCAACACTCATATTTTGGCTCGCAAGTATGGCAAGGGACAGGCTCATATTAAAATACACCAAGAAATATGAATCTTTCCCTGTGGGCAGTTTGTGTGCTGTGTTGCTATCTGATCGCAGAAGCAGTCTGTTCTTCCACCACATCTTTCTCCCCTCTCTCTATTTACTCCGCTGTGTTTATTCAACACATAGCTCCCGGCGAGGCAGTAAATTAGCACTCAATAATAATCGGACTGATAATTACAGCCAGGGAACTACACCGAAGACTGAGTGGGATAAAATGGGCCACTGGCCCTTCTTCTTCTTCCTTTCCTGTTCCTCCACTTCTCCATCCATAGAGTTACTGTTTCCACTCAGACTGCTCCATAGACTTGAATATAGAGCACTAGACTGAGCCCCGCCCATCCCGTCCACTGGTAGCATCTGTGACAGCATGGAGGAGCAGAAAGGGCTTCCAAAAAGGGGCAACAGCTCACAGCCACCATAGAAACTAATAGATAAACAGCAAGCTGAACCGGAGCTGTTTCACAGATTATCAGTCATGTTTTTACAATAAATTAATAACTATGTTAATTTCATTCAACAATCATGTAAAACAGCAGAGATATACCAGAAAAATATATAATTTATAAATAACAATGATCTAATCTAGACCTGAAGTCAGCCTGTAACTTAGACTTTAGCTAGTTGAAAAATGATGACTTCATCTAGTAATAAATTATATTTATTATTTCTTCTTACTGTCATAAAAAATAAGAATATTCATATTTACCAGTCAAGAGTTAGAAAATTTTCTCTGGTTATAGGATGAAACTTGTCTCTATTAGCTAACCTTCTTCTCAACAAGTCAGGTTCCTCTAACAAAAACTTAAAAATACTCACATTTATATTATTTTACACTCTGTAGGTCTAAATATTAATCAGAGACATTTATAATATTATTTTACACTCTGTAGGTTCAAATATTAATCAGAGGACAAAGTAATATTTAATAGTTTGTGTTAAATTGTAGCATAATTCAACAGTGCTACACTCTGTATATATGCTCCACAAGCTAATCTCTGCTAACCAGTTCAATAAATAACAGTGATTACATCGACTTTATAAGATTATTTTAATTTTAAACTGTTACATTATGTTCTGCTCAGATCACATTGAGCTAAATAAGATCAAATCTGCTTACTTGTGTTGTGAAATTAGACATTTTCCTGTTTATCTTCTGTTAATAAATCCATAACACAAACAGCTTTTCTGACATTATTTAAAACATTAGATAGATTATATAAACTGTAAAATATTATTAATAATTGGGTTAATATTATTATTAATAGTTTTTAAGATTACTACATCATCAGTCCTTTATTTCTGCTCTGTCACCAACATGTACAGTAATGGGAAATCCASACTCTTGACCGTTTAGCGTTAGCCATTAGCTTCACCAGCTGAACACACGGTCACGTGGTTTCTGCGCACTCCAGCTGTTCTATATAAACTTCTTGGACTGCTCCCA